GGTCATGAAGAGTCAGATACAATTGAATAACTGAATAACAATAACAGGTATCACCTGGAGAAAGGCTATTGGGTACCAGCCTGAGGAAGCCAAGATCAGCCTTATTGTTTAGCAATTCCTTGCTGAGGGGTATATAAAACTAGCCAAATCTTAACCTGATATGAAAAAAGAGAGATATGCTGTCTATTATTTTAAATGAATGAGGTTTTTTTAATGCATTATGTACCTACTATGTGCTGGGTTCTAATACAAGCAAGCAAAGTGGTATCTACCCTTGAGGAGCTTATATTCTAATGGGGAAGACAATACATGGGAGGGAAAATGGTCAGAGAAAATATTTGGGGCAGGGAAGTTAGAGAAAGTGTTGATTGGTGAAACAGGGCAGTGGGTTGACATGTCCTTACAGGGAATGACAATGATGATTTCATTACTGTTCTAAGAACTACAGTGAGAAGGGTGAAAGAGCAGGTATAAGCCTGTCGATGTAGGATGGACATTGCTGTAAGGTAGTTTAGTTGGGCTGAGATCTGGCAACATAAGATGAAATGCACATGAATCAGTGCCCCAGGGCACAGAGGTGGGACCTCCAGTTCTGGGGAGGTCAAGGTTAGAAAGCAATCTGCATGGCACAGAGATGGTATTTTTTATAGAACTGCTAAAATGGCAGGTCAAGGATACACTATAGATATGGTCTACCTAGATTTTAGCATATAAAATAAAAATATCTCATGCCATTCTCTTATAAAATAGGGAGATGTGGCCTAAAGGATAATGCAATTTTGGAGGTGGTTGAATGGCAAGACTCAAAATTTGATGTCACCTTGGCAGGAGGTCTTTAGTGGAGTGCCCCATAAATCTGCACCTGGCACTGTATTGTTTCACATTTTTAATTAGTGATTTAAATGAAGACAAGTGGCATGATTATAAAATTTGTAGATGAGGCAAAGCTGGAAGAGATGGCTAACACATTGAATAAGTCAGGATCCAAAAATTATGAGACTGAATGAGAATTGTATGAGATTGAATCTAATAAGATGAAATTCAAGAGGCATAAATTTCTAGTCATATGTCTGGCTTCAAAAAATTATATACTTTGCAAATATAATATGGGAAAGACAATCAGACAGAGGTTTCTCAAAAAAAAAGATCAGGAGGTCTTATGGACTGCAAGCACAAAGTGAGTCAGCACTATAATGTGGTAGTCAAAAGAATTAATGCCATTTTGGACTATGTTAAAAGGGGCATAACTTAGTGCCAGCAGCATGGTATAGTGAGCAGATTGTTGGACCTGAAGTCAGGAAATTTGGAGGTTGATTTCCCCCTCAAAAACTTACCAGCTGTGTGACTTTGGGCTTCAGTTTCCTCATCTATAAAAGGAAAAGGATGCAAATGATGACATTTGAGGTCCTTTCCGGCTCTAAATCTATGATCCTATGACTAATCATGGCTATTCTGCATAGAAAACTCCATCACCCTACTCCAGAAATTTTTAATGGTTATCTTTCATTCCTCAAACTTTCTCCTTCCTCATATCTGGCTTCTGGCTTCCTTAGCTTCCTTCAAGTCTCAGCTAAAATTCCACCTTCTATAAGAAGTTATGGGCAAGTAGGTGGTATAGTGGATAGAGTGCCAAGATAGGAGTCTAGAAGATTCATCTTCCTGGCCTCAGACACATACTAGCTGTGTGACCCTGGGCAGGTCACTTAACCATGTTTGCCTCAGTTTCCTCATCTGTAAAATGAGCTGGAGAAGGAAATGGCAAACCACTCCAATATCTTTGCCAAGAAAACCCCAAATGGGGTCACAAAGAGTGGGACCTGATTGAAATGACTCAACAACAACAACAACAAATAAGTTATTCCCAGTCCTCCTTAATCTTAGTGCCTTTCCTCTGAGATGACCTTGTTTGTATATATAGGTGTTTATATAATTACTCCATTATATTGAGAGCTCTTTGAGATGCTTTGCTTTCTGGCCTTTCTTTGTATCCCTAGTGCCTGGCACAGAGGAGGTACTTAATAAATGCTTACTGACTTGTTAAGCTGGAGAGTATCCAGAGGGAAGCAACTAGGATAGTAGAAGGACTTGAGTACATGCCTTATGGGAATATTTTTTTTTAAATAGGGTATGTTTTGGGCAGCTATGTGGTGCAGTGGATAGAGTATCAGGCCTGGAGTCAGGAAGACTCCTCAGGAAGACTCAGGAAGAGCTGGAAATGACTGAAAAATGACTGAATAGCAATAACAAATTTTAACCTGTGTCAACTTCCTCTGATTGGTAAATTCCTCCCCAAACCACCATTTAAAGAAGCACTCATGCCAGGCCCAAACCACCACACTATGACTTTTTGGACTACTCCTCCCCTTTCAGCTCCCTTTTCTGTATTGTTTCCCCCATTAGCTCTTTGAGAACAATGGCTCTTTCTCTTTCCTTGTATATGTATCCCCAGCACAATGCTTGACACATAGTAAATGCTTATTCAATGCTTTGTTTATCTATCTATCTGTTTATCTATCTTCTGTCTATTTATATTCCAGCTATCTTTATTTAGAAGAAGAAAATACTGGGGAGGGGGAGTAGAGGAATGATAGCAAATTTAGGATTGATGTTAGGAAAAATTTTGTAATACTTAGAGCTGTTCAAAAGTAGAATGATCTTCCTGCACAGGTCAAGTGTATTCCTCCACTTTGGAAACTTCATGCAGGGACTGAAAAACCACCTTATTGAATATATTACAGTTGTATTATTCCTTTAGAGTATGAATTGGACTAGATGACCCCTGAGGTGCTTTCAAGTTCTGAAATTCCATGATTCTGTGATTTTGAAAAATTCAGAAAAATTAATTGGTAGAATCCTGTGGCTGAAAATTTTACAGGGAAAGAATGCCCAAGAAGGATAAGTTGTTCTAAAGACTTAAAATGTTATGATTTAAACCCAAAAGATAACAATAACAAAAAATAGGAGATTTGTCTAAAAAGATTAATGTAAATGCACAGAGTACTAACTCACTGACCAACTTGGGGTTTTTTAAAAAGAAACATCCAGAAAATAGAAGTGAAGACAGGTAACATTCAACGAATACTGAAGCATGATGGCTCCATTCTAGAAGAAGAGCATCAGGAGTTTGAAAGCTCAGGATGAACTGAAGTTCATAGGAAGAGTGATGGACACCAAAAAGGAAAAAAAGGATTAGCAGCTATACTCGGAAAAGAAGGGGAATCCCCTCAAAAGGGATAAGACATCTGTTTGGTATAGATGATGAACTGTGACCAGAATTCAGAGAGAAGCCAGAGATGTTCAATTAGCTTCTCTTTCAAGGACTGCAAACAATAATATAAAGACAGTAATAGTAATAATCATAATAACAGGCATTTACATAGTGCTTTATGGTTTACAAACTGTTTCACATGCATTATCTTATTTAATCCTCTAATACCCTCATAGGTAAGTGTTATTATTATACCCATTTTACAAAGGCGGAAATGGGCTCAGAGGGATTCAGTGGAAGTCATGGTGATAGAGCGGAGAGAACACTGAACCTGGAGCTCAAATCTTAGCTCAGTCACTTAGTACTTGAGTGATCTTTGGCCAAACCACTTAAACTCTATGAGCGTCAGTTTCCTCACCAATAAAATGAGAAAGTTGAACTATATGATCTCTAAGGTCCCTTTTATAAACCTATTATCTACTTGCTCATGGTCACCCACTAATGAGTGTCAAAAGCAGAATTAGGTCCTCCAAGTCCAGTGTTCTTTTCCACAGGATAGGTAAGGATTAATAAATCAACAAGCATTTTTTTTAAATGTCTATTCCATGCAAGACACTGGGCTAGGTGCTGAGAGTACGAAGACAAAAATGGAAGGAGCATTTGTCTTTTCAGAAAAACCTGGGCAGACTTATATGAACTGATGCAAAATGAAGTGAGCAGAACAGGGAGAACATGGTACACAGTAACACCAATATTGTAATAATGATCAAGTATGAAAGACTTGGCTACTGTGATCAAGACAATGACTTAAGACAATTCCCAAAGAACCATGATGAAAATACTATCTACCTCCAGAGAGAGAACCAATGAACTCTGAAAGCAGATTGAAGCATACCTTTTCAAACATTTTTTTCTTGGGGTTTTTTGTGTATTTTCTTTTACAGCATGACTAATACGGAAATGTGTTTTGCATGACTTTACATGTATAATTGATTATCATAATGCTTTCCTTCTCAAGTGCTGAGGGAGGCGGAGGGGAGAGAGAATTTGAAACTGAAAATTTTTTAAAAGGAATGTCAAAAATATTTTACATGTAGTTGGAAAATATTTAATGAAATAAATAAAAATATATCAAAAAAGAGCACCTGTCTACCTGGATGAGTTCAAATCACCAAATCTAGACAAATCAGAGTATTAAAAGAACTGATAGATTTGTTTGCTGAACTACTAATAATGAACTCTGAAATAGCATAAAGAATGAGAGAAGTGCCACAGGACTTGAGAAAGGCCATTGTCCTAAATTTTAATAAAGAGAAGAGAGTGGCATCTGTAACTATAGACTAGCAAACTTTACAAGCTTCACTTTATAATTTATTATTGGTGGGATGGTTAGATTGAACATCTAGAAAAAGAAGCAGTGATCACAAAAGACCAATAAGGCTTCATCAAGGACAGGCCATTCAACCATACAAAAAACTATTCCAAATCACTAATAATGAGAGAAATGCAAGTCAGAATAACTTTGAGATTTTACCTCACTGTAATTGAAAGGATTATGGACTACGTAGTACTTTCAATTTAGGTTTGGATCTCAAGATATAATGACACATACTCAGTATAAACTTAACAAATTATCACATTTATTTTACAATGATTAATAGTGATTAAGGCAAAACACACACATAAAGATGAGAATAACATTCAATACAATAAGTAATAATCAAAATTTTAAAAAAGGGGGAATAAGAAAAGAAAGGATACATACTCACTGACCAGGCAATCTCATACCTACTGGACCAAGGAGACTGAAGAACGGTCAAGGGGTCTGGTCAGGGAGGCAACGGAGCAGCATCCCGCTCCAACTCAACAGAGGATGTCCACTTGATCTGCCTCTGGTCAACAGAGATTCGGCATCCCTATCTCTGACATCAAAGTACTCCAAAAATCCCCTTTCAAATGACCCCTTTTATATCCATGTAAACCAGGGGAAAACAATCTTGATATTTTGTTTTGTGTATGTATCCTTGGTGAGAGCTCAGGTCCAGGGCACACACACATCTTAACAAAGGTTAGGGCTTGATCAGAGCCCCAGATACCTGTTTATTGTGTAAATCTCCAAGGAGTGATCAATTCCTTGGACAGTTACACTCTTTTCTCAAGCAAAATGTTCCTTGAGATGAATTGTTTTCCCGGGTAACATAGTTTGTTTGTTACTTAATGTTCTAGTCTCCTTCGTCCTGGCCATGCATGGTAACTCCAATTTGTCTTTATGTCAGGTCATGAGGCAGTTACACTGTCAGGTCATGAGGTGGTTACACAGGGGGCTGGGGAGGATCTCCTCAGGGGCTGGGGAGAATCTCCTCAGTTTCCCCTACATTCACATCCAGCAAATTGGTAAAGACGACAAAAGATGGAAATAGTTGGTGTTGGAGAGGTTGTGGAAATAGGAGGTCAATAATACACCTTTCATGTAGCCATCAATTAGTGCAACCATTTCAGAAAGTAATTTGGAATTATTATTATTATAAGAAATTGACTAAAATGTAACTTTCTCTGGGTCACCCAGAACTCCAGGGTGACTCTGGGTCACTCCAACCCAGAAATCACACTGCTAGGCATATACTCTAAGGAGTTCAATGATAAAAATATTCATAGCAGCACTTCTTGGAGTAGAAAAGAATTGAAAACAAAGTAGATGACCATCAATTGTGATACATTAATGTAATAAAATATTACTATGCTATAAAAAATGATTAACATAATGCATGAGAAAACATGGGAAAATTTACATGAATTGATGCAAAGGGAATTAAGCAGAACTAGGAAACAATTCACATCGACTATCATGTAAATAAAAAGAATAGCAACAACCACAAAAACAATCAAAACCAAATGCTGTATAATTATAATGACCTATGCTGGCCGCTAAGAAGAGATATAAGAAGGCAGCTTCCCTGCTTCTTTGAAGAGATGGAAGACTAAGAACATGGAACGCTACATACAACGTCAACATACGGTAATGTGTTGGTTAATTTTGCTGACCTGTTTTTTTCTTTTTTTCTTTTTTATTCTTTGTTATAAAGGATAACTGTCTGATAAAGGAATATATTAATGTATTTGGAAATGTAGATAATACAACAACAAAAGATATCACTATTTTTTAAACAACAGATCATGCCAGACTGATAACAGAGACAGAGGTAAAGACAGAGACAGAGGGATCGAGATAATGATACAAATACTGCCTTAATTTCATCAAAGTATTTGAAAGAATGTCTCATGCTATTTTGATGGACAAGATGAAGAAGTCATTTATGGTCTAGATGCAGGGGTGGAGAACCTGCAGCCTCGAGGCCACATATGGCCCTCTGGGTCCTCAAGTGCTTCACAGTGAAGTTTGGATTTAGTCAAAGAGCCACACTTGAGGGCTCAAGGCTGCAGGTTCCCCTGCCTTAGACAATAGTAGAGTTATAGAAATTCAGATTGGTTTAAGGGCCAGATCCAGAAAGTAGTCACTAATGGTTAAATATCTCCAATGGAACTCCAATGGAGAGCCCCAGGAATATGTGCTTGTCCCTGTATTATTTAATATTTTTATCAATGCCTTGGATTAAGATGTAGATATTTAATCAAATTTGCAGATGAAACAAAGCCAGATTAGATAGATAGTTACCAGATGAAAATAAGCACCCCTAAAGTCTCAACAGATTGGAATGCACCTTATAATCTAGCCACTGCTCAGAATCTTAAAATCTAGCCACTGCTCACTAATGTTCAGACTCCTTAAGAGTCTGGCCAATAGGGCAGATGTTCTAATAAACCTTGTCTTTGGCTGAAAAAAGGCTTGGGTTGAATTCTTTAAGAAAGGACCTGTGGATTGTGATTTTGGGGTCTCAGCATCCCTAAACCTCAACAGGTTTGCAACATTCTTAGAGGAAATTCTACGCAAATGCACAGAGGTGGAAGATGAACTGGGATGTATAGAGAACAAGAAGGAGGCCAGGTGGGCTGGAAAGGTAGCTTATAATTGTGCTAAGAAGAAAAATACACTTTTTCCCTTAGAGGCAAAAAGGAATCAATAGAAGCTTCTGGAAAAGGAAAGTAACATGTTAAGTAGAATCTGATTAAGCAGAAATTTTAGAAGAATTCATTCCAGGTAGAGGAAAAAGTATGATAAAATGTCTGCAGTGAGGAAGGCTTGGATTATGCTGGGGAACAGCGAGTAGTATAATTTAATTGAAGCATAAAGCATAAGGAAGGGCTTAGGAGATATGTCTCAAAACAAGTTGGGCTCATGCTATGGACATGAATACTAGATGGAGGAGTGTCAACTATTTTTCAGCAGTAGAATCTCTTTACTCTCTCTAGGTCTTATTTTCCTCATCTCTAAAATGAAGAGGTTGTACTGCATTCTCTTTATGGTCACTTTCCAGATCTGGAATTCTACTATGCTATTTTGCCAGGTTCTCTGCTCAAAAATTCCTCCTAGGTTTTAAGCCTTTCTTCATCACCTCTCCTTTAGTTTTTCTTAGTCACATACATACTTCCTGCCCCGAAGTATTCTCTCCCATCAGTAGAAAATGAACCCGCTCATCTCTGGCTATTCCCTTAAATATAAATTTGCAGTAGTAACTTACTAAGCATGGAGATAAAATGGACCTTATATAAAGAAAGACTGTGGGAGAGATCCAGGAGTGTCTTGTGTACCTAACTTTTCCTCTGATCTACCATTCTTTCTTAGCCAATATCAAGTCAATTAGGAAATATTTAACAAAATAATAAAAAAAATAATACAACAAAAATAATGTTAACATGCTGTTTTCTGAGTCAATATGCATCCCATGGGGATCTTCATACATGGTTTAGTGGTCCCTGTTTTTATTTGAGTTTGACACCACTGGTGTAGTAGCGAGCAGATTGGATTTAAATTCAAGCCCTACCTCTGACATATACTAATTGTGTTATTTCATCTATCAGTGTCCCAGAAAACTCTTAACACTTTAAGTTACAGATGAGTCACTGATCTGTACTGGTAGAATGATTTCCACAATGAGGATTCCCTACATGAATGAAATTAAGGTTATACTACTCTTCCCCTCCACCATAGTGTCATGTATATTCCTTCTTATATTTCAGCTGTTTGTGTACACATTTAGTTTTTTATTCAATTTTAATAAAAAATTTGCATTAAAATTGTTCTTGTTTCAGTCAAATAGGACATCTACAGAATAAACATATATGAGTGGAATGGAGGAGAAGGGATTGCTGTGATGTGTGCTTTTTCAAAAACAGGGTGGTTGGTTTTTTTTTTTAAGAAAAACTCCTATCTACTATAAAGAGGAATTTAGTACCTGATCAGACTTTTGCACCTTTATTTTTAAAGGACATTTAATAGGACTTCTGGCCAGGATAGCTACTTGAATCTCCCTTAATTTCAAGCATCCTATGTCCACATACATCTTCAGCAAAGCAAAACAAAACAAAACAAAAAACCTAAAAATCACACCAGACCAAATAATGGTCAAGAAATCTAATGAGAAACTATAATGACTGACTTTTTGCAACCCATAATTGTACAAAAATTCAGCCAGAAACTGAATAGCAAAATGAGTCACCAGAAAAGCCAGCACCAGTACACCCAACAAGATAGCAGTCTCTCAGCATAATGAGAGGCTGACCAGAGACACATGTAAGCCTCCGTATCTGGAGGCAGTAAGACTAGAAGACTCTCTGAGAAAACTCCAGAGTGGTCAGAAATCTATAGTGGAGACATTGCAAAGGACCAAGAGCAGCAATATTCCTAGCAGGTCACCCTAGTGCCAGAAGCTCTGAGGTGCCATATAGGACACTGAAGATCTAGCACCTTAAAATCATGAAGATCCATGGTCGTTTAACCCTGAGAGATGGAAGAAAGTACAGAAGCCCTAGTGGTCCAGATCTAGAAAAAGCAGGGCCGATCGTCCCAGCCAAAACTGTGTAAGAAGGTGAAGTGTATCTCTGGAACAAAACCTCATTCAGGAACTAAGATTGGAAAGGTGAGTAAGCCAAAGAAGATAACAACCATCTTAAAGAAATGTAATAGTTCCAGAGTCAAGAAATCCAACTTAGGAGGAGAGAATAATTCCGAAACAACTGCAAGCAGAGACTTAAAGGGGGGAAAATTGTGTTTTCCACAAGGACTAGAGCAGGGGTAGGGAACTTGCAGCCTTGAGGCCACATGCAGCCTTCTAGATCTTCAATTGAAGCCTGTTGACAGCGGCGGTTCACCACCCCTGGACCCAATGAACACCTAAAAGAAATGAAGCAAGAGATCAATAAATTTGAGCTCTTGGGGAAATAATTAGGAGAACAAATAGCCTATAACAAAAGTTGTAAATTTTCCCTAAGTAATGGACAGCAAATTAGAATTAGCAAAACAGAAACCAATGATTCGATGAAACAGCAAGAAATATTAGAACAAAATCAAAAGATTGAAAAAATGGAAGAAAATATAAGGTATCTGCTATATTTTTTAACTGACCTGGAAAATAGGTCATAGAAAAATCACTGAAGACTCATTGAACTTTCTGAAAACCATGATTTAGAAAAAAGAACCTGAAAATAATTTCAAAAAGTTATTGATGGTGGTTCAGTGGATAGAGCACTGGCCCTGAAGTCAGGAGGACCTGAGTTCAAATCCAGCCTCAGACCAAACACTTGACACTTACTAGCTGTGTGACCCTGGGCAAGTCACTTAACCCCAACTGCCTTAAAAAAAAAGTTCTTGATTAAAAAAAGACCAAGTAAACACCTAGATCTATTAGAACCAAAAGACAAAGTATAAAAAGAAAAAAATCCATCTCCTGATCATTTCCTGAAAGAAAGGCCAAAAGAAAAAATTCCAGGAATGCCATAGCCAAAATCCAGAACTCACATGTCAAAGAAAACATGCTGCAAGCATCCAGAAAGGAGTTCAAGTACCAAGGAACAAGTCAGGTCACTCAAGACCTCAAAGCTTCAATATAAATAGGAGATCTTAGAATACAGTATTCCAAAAGGCAAAAGATATAGGCTTACAAACAAGAATAACTTTCTTTTCAAAGTA